CAGTTTTTATAGTATGATAGTCTATAGATTTTGATAAATGCATTAGTGTCATGTGTCCAAGGATAGTTTCGCCAACCCCCTAAACTGTGTGTCACTTAGTCAACCTCTCCCTAAGACCTAGCAACTGCTTATTTGGGGGGTGGGAGGACAGGATCTCATGTAGCTCAGGCTGCCTTCAAATGTCCTACATGGCCAAGAATGACCCTAAACTTCTGACCTTCTATCTCCACCTCCCAAGTGCTTAGATTTCAGGCATGCACCCCAAGCCTGATTTTATATGGTAATGGGGACCGAACACAGGGTTTCGTGGGTGCTAGGCAAGCACTCTAACAACTAAACTATAGCCCCAGACTCTTCTACTGATCTTTTTGTTGTTGTTATAGTTTTCCTTTTCCAAATGCCATGAATTGAAATCATAAAATAGTAATTTTTTGGCTGTGTGTGATGGCACACTTCTGTAATCTCTGCACTTAGGAAGCTGAAGCAGGAATCATGAATTCAGGGATAGCTTTGGCTACATAATGAGGTCCTGTCTCAAAAAGCAAACCAAACAACACAAAAATAGTAGCTTTCAAAGACTGACTCCTTTCATTTAGCAATATACGTTTAACTATTCCTCTGAGTCTTCTCGTGCCTTGATAACTCACTTCTTTGGGGGTTGGGGGAGCAGTTCATGAGCATGTGGAGGCCATAGGTCGACACTGGGTGTCTTCCTCAATCACTCTCCATCTTATTGTTTAAATATTTTGTTATTTTTATTTTATGTGTATGAGTGTATTGCCTGTTTGTATGTCAGTGCGCTCGTGTTGTGAAATGCCCACAGAGGTCAGTTATGGTAATGGGGGAATAAGATCATTCCCTTTGTTTTCATAGGCCACTGGCAATTCCACTTTCAATTAAAGGGAAGCTGCTGCCCAAAGAGCCACTCCACAGCATTCCCATCATGGTGGAACCCTACCCTAGGCATGTGTTTCCCTCAGAGCTTCTAGAAACTTCTGGCTAGGCCTGCTCTGACACGCCACAGTCCCCAGACTCCCACTGAAGCCTCATTTTCCCTCCTACTCCATCAAAAGAGGAAAGAGAAACAAGACTTCCTCTTAGGAGGCTCTAACTGGGCATTTTTTATAGTTGCCATTTCAACTGTTCTTCATCCTCTAATTCTCAGTCTTACAAAGTGGGTTCTGTCATCACCAGCCCTGCTTGTCAAACAGGTGGGATCTGGTGAGCTGAGGCTACGTAGCTGGATGCAAAGCTCTGCTTCCCGGCTCTCAGGCACACCATGAAACAGCCCAGCACCATTCCCACCTCTTCTCTTTTGTTTTTGTCTTTTTGAGACAGGGTCTCCCTGTAGCCCCAGCTAACCTGAACTCACTATGTAGACCAGGCTGGCCTTGAACTCACAAAGATCTGCCTGCCTCTGCCTCCAGAGTGCTGGGATTAAAGGTGTGCGCCACCACGCCCGGCTCCACCGCTTCTCTTTATGGAGCTAAAATCTTCCTGACACTTTCTTGGAATCATACAGTCATCTTTCACAAGACAGAGGGCAGGGACCTAATGTGGCATATCCAGGTCAGGAGGGAGTGGTGTTTGAGTTTGGTAGTGGACTCTAAAGCCAGACAGATGTTTGGGAAAAATCTCTGACCAGCTGAGTGAACTTGGGTAAGGATCCTCACTTCTCTGAATCTCAGTTTCCCTAATTATAAAGGGTTCCACTTCAATGACTTCTGTTTGGACTCCAGATCGGATTGTTCAACTGCTCTCTCCACCTGTGTCTTTCTCTGACCCCTCAATAGTTGATCTTCTTTCCCTAACTATGATCCTTCCTATGCATGATCAGCCAAGCCTTTCAAACTTTAGAGTTCTGCTGGTTGTGATGGCTCATGCCTTTAATTCCAGCACTCAGGAGACAGAAGCAAGTAGATCTTTGTGAGTCTGATGCCAGTCTGGTCTGCATAAGCAAGTTCCAGGCCAGCTAAGGATACATAATGAGACCCAGCCCCCCCGCCTCCGAAAAAAAAATTAAAAATATTTAGCTTCAAGACAGTGGCGGCATTGGACCCAATATGAGCACCCTGGCAGTTGCCTAGGTCACATGCCCAAGACACTGGCCCTGCCCTGCCCTTCCATTCCCTTCAAGAGTGGCTGCTGCTGCCTTTTCCAGTCCTCTCCTCTTACCCAATCACTCCTTCCATGTTCCAGGCTTAATTAACTTCTCAAAGTTCCCTGAGTTCCTGAACTTTTGCCTCTGGCCTAGGCATTTTCCTCTCCTCATCTACCAGCTCCTCTTCTTTTCTCCTTGTATTTTTTTTTTTCTTCCAGTGCTGCGAATAGAAATCAGGGTTGTGGGCATGCCAGGCAAGCACTCCACCCGGACTTGTTCTCAAATTCCTTCTGGAACACTCTCCTTGGTCTTATGTTGTGAATATCCCATGCCTCTGATTTCCCTCACATCTATCTGGAAAGTTCCAGATGTTTTCCAGCTCATGCTCTGGTTCCCAATTTTTCACTTGATGTTCCATGTTTGCACAATTGTTTAAATTTATTTGTTTTTAACTTTAAAGTGGAAAATAAAAGTCTAAGTATACAGGCATTCAGCAATGTTTAAAATATGCCTCTACTTCTGAGGGATGACTTCTATGAACAAGACCTTGGACCAGGTCAAATTCACAAGGGCCTCAACTTTAAACTTTATTTAAAAACGTGCTGTGTGTGTGTGGCGGGGTATGTGTACATGTGTGGGTGCAAAATTGTGAGTCATTGGCAAATCAAAGGCAAAGAAACTGAGATTGTTGTTAATTTATTGATTATTCAATAAATTTTTGATCTTTTTGAGACAGGGTCTCCCTGAAGTCACAGCTGACCTGGAACTCACTATGTGGACCAGGCTGGACTTGATCTCACAGAGATCTACCTGCCTCTGCCTCCTGAGTGCTGGGATTAAAGGCATGCATCACCACATCCAGTTTATTTAATAAATTTTGACACTATGAAAAGACATACAAATACCTGTTTGTATTTCTGACATTACACACATATAACAACCACCTAAACCACATGTGAAGATTTATGTAAATCCTGTGTTTATTCCTTAAGGAATGCAACATGAACCTCCTTGTCTTTTTTATGTGTGACATGTATGTAGTATGTACATGTAGGTACATATTACAGACTCAGCTTTACAAGGATTCTGGGGAATCCAAATTCTGGTTCTCACACTTGCCCTAAAGTGCTTCATCCAGTGAGCCATCTCCCCAACCCCAACATGGAACTTCTATGTTCAAAATAAAAGCTCAAATTTGCTAAATATACATTTGAAATACACCATGATTTATTTAACTCTGCTCAGCTTTAGTTGGTGTGCATATGTTGTATGCTTATGCATGTGTTTATATGGGTATGTGCACTTATATGTTCAGGTGATTGTGTATAAGACAGGAGTTAACATTGGGTGTTTTCTTTACTTGCTTTCCACCTTAAAAAAAAAAAAAACAACAAAAACAGGATTTCTCAGCAGACATGGATGCACACACCTTTAATCCCAGCATTTGGGAGGAGAGACAAGTGGATCTTTGTGAGATTTCTGGGAGATGGAGCCCAGCCTGGTCTACATAGCAAATTCCAGGCCTGTTGGGGCTACAAGAAGACCATCTCAAAAAAACTATAAAAGGGGGCTGGAGAGATGGCTCAGCGGTTAAGAGCACTGACTGCTCTTACAGAGAACCTGGGTTCGATTCCCAGCACCCACATGGTGGCTAACAACCGTCTGTAACTCCAGTTCCAGGGGATCAGGGGAATCTGCTGCTTTCTTCTGACCTCTTCGGGTACTGCACAACAAGGTACACTTACACACATGCAGGCAATACACTCTACACATAAAATTAAAATAAAAATATTTTTTAAAACTAATAAATAACGAAATAAATAAAAATAAAACAAGGATTTCTCACTAAACATGGAGCTCATAGATTTGGTTAGGCTAGGCTGCCTGGCCAGCGAATTTGAGGGATCTTCCTCTACCCCCCACCTCCCCACCCAAACCCTGGTATTATCGACCCCCGCTGTCACGATCAGCTGCAGCAATGTGCCTGCTGGATATTCGAATTCAGGTCGTCATGCTTGCATGTCAGGCGCTTTACCCACTGGGCCAAGTCCCCAGCCTTGTTTTGTTTGTTTATATTTATTTATTTATTGACAGGGTCTCTAGCCCAGGCTGGCCTGGTACTTGTGATCTTTCTGCCTCAGGCTCCTGCGAGCTGTGATTACAGGCTTACACCATTATGCTCTTCCATTCTTTTTGAACTCATTCAAAATTTAAAAAATATTTTTTTTGGTTTATTTTCATTTTATGTGTATCATGTTTTGCCTGTACCCCTGTCGTGCAATGCCCACGGAGGCCAGGAGAGGGCGTCAGATCCCTTGGGGTTACCGAAGGTTGTCAGCCACTATGTGGGTGCTGGGAACTGAACCTGGGTGCTTTGCAAGACCAGCCAGTGCTCTTAACCGCTGAGCCATCTCTCCAGTCCCTCACTCAAAAATTTTAAGTGGTCCCTCCGATCTCTTTACTGTGTGATGGAAAAAAGTGGGCTTTTGCTCGATTTTATCCTTGCGTAAGCAAGTGAATCAAGAGATGCTGAAAGCGAGGGTGAACGGTGCAAAATAGAGCCAGACAGTTTACATCGCACAGTAGCGGCTGCCACAACATAACTCCAACACGACACAAGTCCAATCAGCGACCACAAACATCCCCACTGCATCCCAGAAGGCACTGCGCTCTCTCTAAGCCTTTCGACTTCCTCCATCCCGAAATGCAACGAGGCTCACATTGTCAAGGAACCGTCCTTAAGGTGGTTACAAAAATGCCTGAATTCCCACCTTGGTTTAAAGGTTTAATTGGGTTTCTCAATCCCATACAGCGTGTCTGTATGGGATTGAGAAAGAGAAAGAGCGGCCTACAGTTTAGCTCTAGAGAGCGTGGCCGTATATAAGGACAAAGCTCGGTCTTTCGCACAGTCATCCTCTTGGGCAGCCCGCTCAGCTGTGGCGTGGGGCCCTTGGGGCCCCGCGGGGCACGTGCAGGAGGAAGTGTCCCTGTCCGCTCGGCCCTAGTCGGTCCCGCAACGTGGAGCCATGGGAGGCCTGGAGAAGAAGAAGGTGAGTGGGCTGAAGCTGGTTGCCAGGGGTGGAATGCGGGGTTGGCGGGGCCTGCGGACCCCTTCCCCGGGCTTCGGTGGACAGGTCCGGAGACAGCCGCCGGAAGGGTTGCGGGCGGGTGGGACTCCGTAAAGACCTGTGGAGTGCTTTCTCCATAAGACATTGTGAAATCGGGCTGAGGGGTTGAGCCGAGTCCGGTCCTAGGCGCTGGGGATGGAGGAGTAAGCAATCAGATGTGGCCCTTGTCCCGGTGGTTACGAATATAACCAGATGAAATGGCCACTAAGTGTGCTCTGAAGGAAGCTAGCGAGGAATAAATAATAGGGTGAAAAAACAGACACCTATTTCAGTCAGTGTGGAGCGCTCTTTGAAGCACATTTTAGTGGAAATCTGGATCAGAATATCTTGGATGGGATTTGAAAGTGCTTAGCGGGAGTCTCTAGTGGAAACGAATGCCAAGGCCAGAAGGTAGATCAGGGTATGCAAGGTTTTGGAAGGACAGAAACATGACTGGGATGTAATAAACCAAGGGAAGTGTCATCTGGCGGAGGATGGAGTTGGACAAGGACTGTATCATGATTCTGAATGAAAACAGCTAAAGGGAGAGAGACATGATCCAGAAATTCTGTTGTAAGGAGAATCTCCTTGGCATGAAGGGACTGAGGGGATGGGGATGAGGGAGATAGGATTGGCCAAAGCATTTCCTTCAGCTTGCAAGTTTCTGGTACCACTTTGTTTGTATCCCAACACACTGTTATGCATCCAGTATGTGCCAGCCACTGGAGCTAAAAACTATAAGAAAGAAAACCTACCGGGTGTGGTAGTGCACACCTTTAATCCTAGGACTCGGGAGGCAGAGGCAGGCAGATCTCTGAGTTTGAGGCCAGCCTGGTCCACATAGCAAGTTCCAGGCTAGCCTGGGACTGCATAGTGAGTCCCTGATCAAAAAAAGGAAAAAGAAAAGAAACGTTGCCCTGAGGTGCAGATGTAGATTCATTAATGAATCATTAAACTTTTCAAGCTGAGTTTCGAAACTGTTTGACATTTTGGGTCAGATAATTCTTTGTTGTGGGAAGGGCTTGCTCTATGCATTGTAGGATGTTTAGGAACATACTGTGCTAGTGGCACCCAACAACCAGAAGTGTGTCCATTTGCTGGACACCCCCCCCCCAATCCAGGACCTAAAATCACCATGTTAAGAGCCAGTTATTTCCTTAATGTTTAAAAGGATACGTCTAGTAACGAGAAATACATACGGTGCAGAAGACTTAAAAATATTTTTTGCTTTGTTTTTTGGTATTGGGTGGGGTTTTGAGACAGGGTCTCACTGTATATTACCACAGGCTATCCTGGAACTCATTCATGTCCTCCTGCTCCAGCTTCCTGAGTACTAGAATTACAGGTGTGAACCAGCCACTGTGCCTGGCTCAGTGGAAAATACTACTTTTTTTTAAAGTTCAAAAATTTAAAATTATATGTGCCTGCATTAGTTTATGTGCACCACTTGTGTATACAGATACCCACAGTGGTCAGAAGGCATCAGATCCCCTGGAACTGGCTTACAGTCAGTTTTGAGCTACCTGATGTGGATGCTAGGAACCAAGCCTGTCCTCTGCAGTCTTACCCAGGGCCATCTCTCCAGCCCCTCCTTGTTTTATTTTAACATTTATATATTGGGTGGGGCGTGGTACCCCATGGCCTACATGTGGAGGTCGGAGGACAACTGCAGGAGTTAGGTCTTTCCTTCCACTTTGTGGGTCCCAGGGATCAAACCCAAATTATTAGGCTTGGTGGCAAGTGCCTTTACCCACTGAGTCATGTCATCCGCCTTGGTGGAAAACAATTCTAATAAAAAATCTGAAGCTCATCTTTGGTTCCCTCAGATTTAACACAGGCCTGTTCCCCAATAGACAGTTAATGAATGTTTGTAAGAAAGAATGAATGCTGTGGAGTCATTTATAAACATGCATAGTCAGGAGGCTTCAGCTTTGACTGTTGAGAGCAGGACCTGGCTGTAGAGGCTTCTGCTGTCTCACTTCAGAGGATGCTTTTGTTTGGAAAGGACATGGGTGGTTAGCATTGCAGGGTGTTTGGCATAGGGCACTGTTCCCCTCTAGCAATGATGTGAATGTGAAGCAGTATTTTAGCATCACAGGCATCCAGACAATTGAACAAGACGATGTGCTGCCTGGAGGCAAGTAGAAACTAGGCCTGTTGTCTTTATTGCCCTCATAGCCTCTAACTTAGTGCTTTGAACATAGTTACTGTCTGGTGAATGCACTGGGGCAGGTAAAAGTATGTGTGACTTAAGGTATGGATCTTGAATTAGCATGGTATCACCTTTTAAGGGAGCAAAACTTGGCTGGAGGAGATCTTAGAAGTTAAAATGACTTGCAGTCCACCTCAAAGGAACATACTATGTAAGAGGATCTTTAGTAAATCTGTGGTACTAACATTTCATAAAAAGTCTGGTGATGGTGAGGGCAAATAAGATTGTGAACACAGGATTAATAGGTAGGCAGGCTCTGGTCCTCGGACCTGGGTTGAGTCTCAATCTCAGCCCTTAGGCTATGTCACTTGGACAGGCTATTTCACTGAGCTTGTTTCTTTGGCTGTGAAGCAAGGGTTCTGATGGCATTGCTCTCTCACAGGACTGTGGGGATTTAGTGAAATGCAGCCATCACAAACCGCACAGAACAGGATATAGAGCTAGTACTAAATACCTGGCACATCTAATTCACAGTAGCCTCGAAGTCCCAGCATCATGTGGAATATATGTCCTCTATGCTGCAGCTACAGACAGTAAACAGCTCCTTTGGGCAGGTCAGCTCACTTTGTACAGCAGTCTGAATCCTAGAAACATCTTGGCCAGCTACCCAGAATGTTAGCTGCCTCTGGAACTCAACATTCACAGAATTGAATATCACTGCATTCATTACTAATGGAAGCTGTTTGTTTTTTTCCTCCCTAAGTATGAACGAGGTTCTGCCACCAACTATATCACCCGAAACAAAGCCCGGAAGAAGCTGCAGCTGAGCCTGGCTGACTTCAGGTGAGGTCGGAAAGGAGTTGAATAGGGATCCGCTGGAAATCCAGCAGGGAAATGGACAGTGAAAACTTAACCACATCCCAGCCTTACCTGAGCTTGTCAGGCTCTGTAGTCTTCTTCCTTTTTCTTACCTGGCCTTGCTAGGGAGCTGTCCTTTGTCAGGTGTGGTCTGAGAAGAAGCCAGAGAACTGGGACTTAAGATTGGGCTGCCTGGGTCTTTGCTGTTCACCCCTCCCTCCTGGAAGAACATGTCCTTGATCCTGCAGCTAGGGAGTCTCCTTTTAGGGGCAAGTTTAGATTTCTCTGCAGTCTGTGGGCCCTTCCATCAGGCTAACCCTGACCTCTGTAGCTTCCCAGCCCACTTTAATCCTTCACACATGCCCAACTCATTCTGACCTTACAGTCTTTGTCCTTATTTCTATTTCCCTCTCTCCCTCCCTCCCATGTGCGTGTGTGTCATAGTTGCAGGTTTTGGGGGGACTTTCTTTTTTTTTTCAGTGCTGGGGATGGAACCAAGGTCTCGTACATGGTACTCAAGCACTGTGCTGTGGTGTTCTGTCACTAGGCCTGTTTTTTTCTGTTTGAGACAGGATGTCACTGTGTAGCTCAATCTGGCTTCAAACTCATGATCCTCCTGCCTCAGCCTCCTGGGTGCTAGTAGTACAAGTGTACCCCACCATGCTTGGCTACCCCCCTTAGAATGTTCATCCCTTTACCTTATATAGGGCTAAAATGTTGACTTCTCAGATAGCCTTTCCTGATTTAGGTGTCTACCAGCCTTTGTCAGTGTCCTTTTCTGATGCTTGTGACTGTCTACATGCACTGTGTGTTTAGGGACTTATGATCAGATTCCCACATGCAGAATCTCAGGCCCCTTTGCTAACTGAACAGATGAATTGTCTTTCAGGCGGCTGTGCATCCTGAAGGGCATTTATCCCCATGAACCCAAACATAAGAAGAAAGTTAACAAGGGCTCCACAGCAGCCCGAACGTTTTACCTTATCAAAGATATCAAGTTTCTCCTCCATGAACCCATTGTCAACAAGTTCCGGGAATACAAGGTGAGATCTGGCTTCTAGTGTTTGCAGCTTTGTGGCTCACTAGCTGTGACCTTGGGTAGGTTGCTGACCCTCTGTGAGCAGTCCTGTGGGAAGGAGGAGGGATGTCGCCAAGGTTCACTGAGATTTTGTGTCTGGAAAAAATTTTCACAGGAACTGGCAAATAATTAGTACTTTATCTATTAGCAGTTTTTCCCTCTGAGATTAAAAAAATTTTGCCCCCAAGGCAAACTTGATGCTATTTCAGGGGCTTTCCCTTGCTTTTTCTGCCCCTCACCTCCCCACTCTTACTCTACTTCTTTGTAAGATTGTGCCCATGAGACCCAGGCTTCAATTCCACAGATAGAAATCATTAATGCTTAGATGCCACAGGGAGGGCAATAAGCTATTTCCACTGTGTGCAGATAATGGAAGGTAGACTAATTGAAAGTGAACTGCTGTTGCTGGTCCCTCTGACTCCAAGCCAGACACTACAAGGAGTGGGTGCCACCTGGTGGCTAGCAGGAGACTCAGCAACTGCTGTGGCTGGTTTTTCAACCACAGGAACTCGCTATTAGAAGTGCAGTGAGGGGGTGGGGTAGAGAGATAGCCCATTGGTTAAGAGCACTAAGTGCTCTTGCAGAGGACCTGAATTCTATTTCCAGCACCTATGTGGCGGCTAGCAACCGCCTGTAACTCCAGTTCCAAGGGATCTGACACCTTCTGACCTCCATGGACATTGCATTACACGGGTGCACTTACACACAAACAGGCAATACACTCATACACATAAAGTAAAAATAATTTTTAAAAGGTGCAGTGGGAAATAACTGTTCCAGAACTGCTGTTTATAAACCCACATGCTGTTTGAGCTTCTGGGAGCCCTGGGACTGGACCTGAACAGAAATTTTTGGGAAGAACAGCATCCATTGGTTTGGAAGATCTGGCCTCACAATTTATCTTGGTTGCTTTTTCTGGGTAGCTCCGTGGAGACCCACAACTAGTTTCATATGATGCAGATAGGAGTTGAGAACAAAGGTCAGCCCTTTTGGCTGTGATCCGCCTCAGTGGAAGGTTACTTGGCCTCTTTGCAGGTGAAAAACAGGACTAATGGACCCTCCCATGTAGACATGGGGTGTCAGTGCATCCATGCATCATCAGGGTGCCCTGCTCTACCCCTGGGCATTATCATGGGTCTGGAGCTCTGTGGAATTGGCTGTTGGCATCTTCTGGGCTGAGGGGGCTTATGGCACAAGCAGACATCTGTGGCTAGCTTCTGAAGGCATTAAGAGCTTCACTGCTCAGTGTATTTATCCTCTGGAGGAGGGGTGCCCAGTAGTCCTCAGCTACAACATCGCCAGTCCCTTCCTCCAGGTATTTGTTCGGAAGCTCCGGAAGGCCTATGGGAAGAGCGAATGGAATGCTGTGGAGCGCCTGAAGGACAATAAGCCCAACTACAAACTTGACCACATTGTCAAGGAGCGGTGAGCTGGATGCCCCTCAGAATGATGCAGTTTCATTGGTGGGCAGTGTCCTAGTACTGGGGACACAATGGGGGACAAGACCCAAGATTTGGCTGACGGAGCTCACATCCTTTTGAAGGAGGCAGACCAAAAACCAAACTGGCAAATCACTGTCATAATTGCAAGTGCATTGGATACCACAGAGGTTGTAAGCAGCATTGAAAGAACTGGGGGGTAGAGAGAGAGGTATGTTGATTGCACACAATCAGAGAAGGTCTCTGGAAAATTACTTGTTTGAGCCAGGCAGGGAGGCACATTACAAGCAGAGACAGCAGCAAGTTCAGAGACCCTTTGGGTGAGAGCGAGCTAGAGTCACATGGTAAGACTTGGAAGATGTGGTAGGATACTTCTGGTCTTAATTAGCTCAGGCTTCTCAGAAGTCCCTCTCCATTGGCTGATCAGTGTTTGGCAATGCCTGGAGGTTTGTGGTTCCCACCATTTAGATGGAGTATGTTTGGTTTCTTGTGGCTAGAGGTGAGTATTGCTGCCAGGGTGCTTCTGATATCTTGTGGCTACATGCCAGGGTTGCTGTTCTATATTCTGCAGTGCCCATAGTAGTTCCTACAGCAGAACATTTTGGCCTAGAATATCTATTCTGTGGGATGATGGCCTAGGCATACTCAGCTCTAGAATGGATGGCTTAGCTTTATTCCTGGGCTATCATGCAAAGGGCTCTTCCTGGCCTGGGAGATAGCAGTTGGTATTCTCCTGGCCCTGTGGCTCATGACCTAGATGGCCAGAGGACAGTGCCTGTTCTGACAAGCACTCATCACTAATAGAGAGGCATTAGTGGTTCCTGTCCTGCCTGTGACACAGCTATTTTGTGGAATCAATGAAAGAAATTTGCAAAAAAAAAAAAACCAAAAAACCCCAAGGGCTTGCATTAGTTCCCAAAGCAAATGATACTCCGTCTCCTTACTCCTTAGCCAGAACCGAAGTGTAAAGAAAACCAGGTAGCCCAGAAATGGCATGTGCTATTCCTTAGAGGGCCTGGGATGTTAGCTTTGTCTATGAAGTAGAAAGTTGGGGAACTCTGAGGCACCAAGGGGACTAAGGGAGGTACCTGCCTCTGCCCCAGAAACACCAAACAGCTGTCCTGTCACCTGTAGGCTTTTCCATGTTGGCTTGGGTTCGAAGACCTAGCAAACATATTGACTCACTGCAATGAGTGATACCATCTGGTGGGGGGTAGGGAGGTTAGCAGTGTGTGGTGGTGTACCCTTCAGGGCTGACTTAGGACACAAAAGCCCCTTTTCTTCAAAGGAAGCTACTTAGAATGTGGTTGGCATGCCAGCAGCTCTGGGACTACCTGGCTGGGGGAGGGAACTGGAAGCCCTGCATGTTAACTTGTGCTCAGCGTGTCTTTAGGGAGCTGCAAAGGGTGGGTAGGTTCATTGGTTAGTTTGGTTTTGAGACAAGGTCTTTCTTACTATGTAGTCTAGACTGGCCTGGAACTTGGAGTATTCCTGCCTTAGCCTCCCAAGTACCAGGATTACATGTGTATGCCACCATGCCTAAATCAGCATGCTGGTCCAGCAGTGTTTTGTAGAAGACGCTGGAGCTAGATGAGGCCCAGTGACCTAGTCAGAGTCACGGCTCAGAATGGGACTAGAATCCAGGTATCGTGACTTGAGGTTCAGTGTCTTCTCTGCACCCCACACCTCCTCAGCTGGGTAGCCAGCTATGCAGCGGTGACTCCTGCCCAGGTGATGCTTTCCAGTCTGCTTCTTCATTTACCATGGGATTCCTGGAAACATGTTCTTAACTCTAACTGGCTAAGGTTCTGTCAGCTATACAGTTCTGGCTGATGAGCGGCAAGAAGAAAAGACTCATTCTGGTGACTAAGCCCAGGTACAGGTGCTGCTGGGAAAGCAGTCCCTGCTCCTTCCTTGGCTCTCTACGGCAGGGGCCCTTTTTTTCCCATTAGTCATGGTTAGCCTTTGAAGATTCTGCCTTCAATGAGAGTCAGACAGCCACCAATTTAGTGTCCCCTTAATCACAAAAAAGAAAAAGCAGGGGCCGGGCGTGGTGGCTCACACCTTTAATCCCAGCACTTGGGAGGCAGAAGCAGGTGGATCCCTGTGAGTTCAAGGCCAGCCTGGTTTACAGTTCAGTGGCTTCAGGGTTGTTTCCAGGTCTGTGGCCAGCTGTGGGGACGTTGTTGTTGCCACCCCCACATCAGGAGGTATCAGTGGCAATGCCTGGCTTGGGGATCAGGGGCTCTGCAGTAGCTACCAGGGAGAGGCAAGATGCGTAAGGGACCCTTGGAACCCAGGTGTAATGGGCTCATGATCACTGCTCTTGGTGTCCTGTAGGTACCCCACATTTATCGATGCTCTTCGGGATCTAGATGACGCCTTGTCCATGTGCTTCCTCTTTTCCACCTTCCCACGCACAGGCAAGTGCCATGTTCAGACTATTCAGCTGTGTCGCCGGCTCACTGTGGAGTTTCTGCACTATGTCATTGCTGCCCGTGCCCTGCGCAAGGTGAACTAGGGCTCCCCTGGGGAGCCCCGGCCCTTTCCTGCCACCCCTTGGTCTTCATACTGTCTGCCTTCATCTCCACCCCCCTCTTCCCCCTTTCTAGGTCTTCTTGTCCATCAAAGGCATTTATTACCAGGCTGAGGTGCTAGGACAGCCCATTGTGTGGATCACACCCTATGCCTTCTCCCATGATGTGAGTACACTTTTGGGAAAGGCCTTGTGCTGGTTTCTAGAAAGATGTGGGGGCAGGGTACTGTCTTTTTTGGTCAAGTCCTTGTTGGGCTCCTGTTTGTTGGCTGTTGTGCAAGGTGGGTGGGTGGGGCAGCACTGGGAATGTGTTCCACAGTCTGATATCAGTACCACTGGACCAGTAACAATTCTTAGTCTGGTATGTATACTCAGACCTAAAGGTTAGCTAAGCCTGTCCCTCTCCAGAACTTCTGCTAGATGACTTTGGATATATTCCTTCTCCTCTCTGCCTCCCGTTACAGTGCTTCCATCTTCTCAGTCTTGTCATGAAGACTTGCCTTCAAAAGCTGGGCGCTTGGCCTTTTGTGGTCAAATGGACAGTAAAGGCAGCTCTAGGGACCATGTATGCCCAGTACTGTGTACGACTCCCATTTAGACCAAGTAGAGAGCCCACCCCTTTTCTCAGATCCCCTGGGGTCCCTGTCCCCACTCTGCCATCAACAATGGCCATACCATATGCAAGCTGCTTCACTCCTGTTTCTCCTGTCTGCTCCATCCTCCCCACAGTCTAGAGGACAGGGTGACTCCAGAGAAGGGAGCACAAGACAAGAGAGGCATTTAGCACATGGTGCTGCCCCTTGACCTCTTTTTAAGTGCTTGGGATTGGTGGTAGGGCCCTGCAGAGAGGAGTCCTGTTTTGGCTCCTGTGGAAGTATCATTAGCTTCCAGTCAGCCAGAGGATCTGATCTAGCTGGTCTTGCCCCGCTGACCTAACCTTCTGTGGGCTGTAGTTGATCCACCTTCCTGCTTGTTGTTTGAGCAGGAACTGGATAGCAGATGCTGCAGAGTAAGCTGAGGATCTGTGCCCCCGGGTACTGGGGGTGCCAAGGCTAGAACCTGCCCTGTCTGTAGTACATTGGTGGTGGAGCTTGTTTGTGGCTGAGGGCCATGCTTGGTGCTCAGCAGTCCCTTTCCCCATTCCTTGGGGGCAGGCTTGTGGAGCCAGAGCCTATGGCCCCTTCCTTCTCTCCATTTCCCTGTTCCTCCTCCTCCTTCCTGCCTTCCTTCCTCTTTGGCCCTCTCTGTCCTTCCTTCCCTCTGATGTCCTACCCCCACGCTGCTCAGACTGGTCTTTGTGTGCCCTCTGGGATGGTGAATAGGGCACTGGGGAGGGCCAGTCTCCTCACAGCTGGCCCTGGGGGAAGGGCACAGGCTGTCTATGTCGCCTTCCTCCCAGCTTGCTGCAGCAAAGGGTAGCTGACAAGTGCTAGGTTGTAACTAGGACCCTCTTGTGCCCCTCACTTGGACAGCCAGTGCTGTATGTACAGTTATGGGACCCAGACAATGGCAGAGCGAGGGGTAGAGGGTACCTACCCTGCTTAGTGCTGTGGGAAATGGAGTTGGTGCCCAAGTGCCCACCAGGCAAAGTGTCATGGCATTGGTTACTTACTGCCTGGTAGCAAGATTGAGAAACAGCTGAGTTGTGGGTGCCCCCTGCACAGGCGATATTGGGATCATTATCAGTTTTGACGTTTCTTGGAAATGTTTCCTGTCTGCCTCTCAGGGGCTGTCGGGGCTGGGAGGAGCTTTGGAGTAGATCTCTCTGGTTTTAGAGGATGGGACCATTCTAGAACTGAAGTACTTTTGTCTAGGTCGATCAGTTCCTCATTGGCAAAGATGATTTCACTTCTTTGCCTGCTAGGTTGGCAGCTTATGAAGGTAGTCAGTCTGCTGTGCCTCAGCCTAGTCCTCGGCTCTTAGGCTGGGTCTGAGATGGGAATGCTGGAATCTGAGCTTTGTCTCAAGACTCTTCTGGGGTGTGGATAGATTGAATCCTGTTCATGTGCTCCTAGCCACAGCTAGCTTCCCAAGGCACCTTAGTGTGTTCTGGAAAGGCTGCCTTCCTAGTGTTCATGGTGGCCTTGGACCAGATTTTAAATAGATGTTGAGATGGGTGGTAGAGGCTTGATTCTGTCTAGTTCACACTGATGTGACAAAGGAGTGGGCAGGGAAGGGGAGGGCAGGCCACCTATGTCAACAGCATACTCTAGTTCTCCTTGTCACTGTTCTGGCTCCCTTTTTACCACATGGGGGTCTGGCATTGACTTCCACATACCCATAGCCTTTGGGGCCTCTGTCTAGAACCTTGTTGTGTTCAGGTGCCTATGAGTTGAGAACATAACACCTGCCTCTACCTCTGTGCTGACCCTGCTGATGCATCTCCTGTGCCCCCAGCATCCAACGGACGTGGACTACAGGGTCATGGCCACCTTCACTGAGTTCTACACCACCCTTCTGGGCTTTGTCAACTTCCGCCTCTACCAGTCACTCAACCTTCACTACCCACCCAAGGTAGAGCCTCAGCCCAGCCTAGCTCCTTCTTACCTAGCCTGGTTCTAGCCCTTCTCTCCCACACTGAGGCAAGGGGCTATAGGTTTCCTCTTCCTTCCTCCCAGCTTGAGGGTCAGGCCCAAGCAGAGACAAAGGCCAGTGAGGACACATACGCGTTAGACTCTGAGAGCTCTATGGAGGTAAGAGGGGCTTCAGCGGCATTGGCCCTACGTGGCCCCAGAAGGATGGTCTTGGTCCCCAACACATGTGGTGTTCTGGCCTATGGGTTTGGCTAAGTAGGTGGTCTCAGAACTTGCCCTTAGAGCCCAGACCCATATGTGGCCCAGAGCTCTTGCTGCTGCTCCTCCTCCCACCCTGCCACACACCCAAGTGAGGTCCCCTGCTTGTAATCAGACCACCTTGCTGCTATGCTTCCCATCTATAGAAACTGGCAGCCCTCAGTGCCAGCCTGGCCCGTGTGGTGGTGCCTGCCGTGGAGGAAGAGGCCGAGGCCGACGAATTTCCTGCTGATGGGGTAAGTGAGCACTATGCTGCCTTCTGGGAGGGTTCAAGATGGGACAAGGCATGGGGCCAGTACTAGAAGCTATGACATCTAAAAGGAAGCTGGGAAAGTGGGACACTCCTGCCTCCCAGTGGAAAGGGATGGCCCTGGTGGTGTGAGGCCTGGCCTCTTCTCTGCAGGAGATGGCAGCACAGGAGGAAGACCGCAGGAAGGAGCTGGAGGCACAGGAAAAGCACAAGAAACTCTTCGAGGGCCTGAAGTTCTTCCTGAACCGAGAGGTTCCCCGTGAGGCTCTGGCCTTCATCATCAGGTGGGGAAGCTGATAGCAGCCCATAGCTCTCGCTGTACTGTGGTCTGGTCTCCATCCTTGCATGTAGGCCTAATGATAACCTCATGAGATGGGTCTACTTCTCACAAAGCAGTGTGTGCAAGATGCTTGGCCTGAGTTCAGACACCTTCAAAGCTCTAAACTGAGGGAAGAGCTGCACTTCTGTTATTACTGGCTGAGGTCCTTCTTCACTGGACTAGAACTGCAAGTGTCATCACAGACAGGAGGCTCTAGAGTAGGGATGGGCCAGGGTACATTCTAGGGAGGTGGGTTTGTGGGAAGTGGATCCAACGAACCAACTCCCAGGGCAAGCAGCTCATGCTGAAAAGGCCCTGTCACCTCTCCCTGTGCCTGTAGGAGTTTTGGTGGGGACGTGTCCTGGGACAAGTCTTTGTGCATCGGAGCCACTTATGATGTCACAGACTCCTGCATCACCCATCAGATTGTTGATCGGCCTGGGCAGCAAACCCCCATCATTGGCAGGTAGACTCTAAGGCCCTCATGAATTCTCTAGGGATGCATTGGGACCTCTGGTTGTTCCCTCATGACCTGTCTTTGCTGGCCATTCTGCATCAGGTACTATGTGCAGCCCCAGTGGGTGTTTGACTGTGTGAATGCCCGGCTCCTCCTCCCAGTGGCAGACTATTTCCCTGGGGTGCAGCTGCCCCCACACCTTTCGCCCTTCGTATCTGAGAAGGAAGGAGATTATGTTCCCCCTGAGAAGCTGAAGCTGCTGGCTCTGCAGCGGGGAGAAGATCCAGGTAAGCTAGAGGGTTGGCTAGCAGGGTGGATACACTCCTCTGAGGCCCTGGCGCCGTGCCCAAACTAGCCATTTCCCTCTGCTACAGATATGACAGACTTCAGGAAAGTTGGGAGCAGAAAGCCCTTTGTCTTTTTTTATTGTGAGCTTGAGTCTTTAATGGCTGCGCTAGCACTCCAGCCCCAGAAAGCCCTCTGAACACACTTCTCGGCATTTGCATTTTAGTCAGGTGTTATTTGACATTCAGAGTATGTGAGCCAGAGTTGTCAGTGTTTGCATGAGAAGTGCAACAGAGGGCCTTGGAAAGTTTTCTTTGAAAGCAGCTCAGCTGGAGCTGTGGGAGCTGTTGGGGCCATCAGGGAGCAGTCTATTTTTTTATGTATATGAGTGTTTTGCTTGCATGTATGTAAGCATACCCATGTGTAAAATACTGAGGAGGCTAGAAGAGGGCATTGGATCCCCTGTAACTGGAGTTGCATAGATGGTTGCTAGCCACCATCTGGGTGCTGGGAATTGAACCCAGGTACTCTGCAAGAGCAGCCAGTGCTGCTAACTGTTGAGCCATCTCTCCAGCCCCAACGGTCTTGAGCTGTCTTTGGAAAGTAGCCAGGCAGCAGGGTCAGAGAAGTTGGTGTCTGGGACTCACCTTCACTCTACAAGGGAAAGAATAGACATCCAGGCCTTTCCAAAGTCATTGGCTATTTGTAGGAAACTTGAAAGAATCAGAGGAGGAGGAGGAAGAAGAGGAAGAAGATGAAGGGGATGATAATGGAGAAGAAAATGAGGAGGAGGAAGATGCAGAGACTGGTTCAGAGAAAGAGGAGGAGGTGCACCTGTCAGCCTTGGAGGAGCAGAGGATAGAAGGAAAGGTATGGACTTAATAGGCCAAGGGCTCTACCTAGGAAGCAGCCTCTTAGTGTAGAGACCAGGACTCAGCAGACCCTGGACATCATGAGCAGCTACCTTGTGTTCCCAGAAGCCCCAGGTGATAGCGGGCACTGTGAAGTTGGAAGACAAGCAGCGGCTGGCCCAAGAGGAGGAAAGTGAGGCCAAGCGCCTGGCCATCATGATGATGAAGAAGCGGGAAAAGTACCTTTATCAGAAGATCATGTTTGGCAAGAGGCGTAAAATCCGAGAGGTAAGGCCTGTACTTTTGGAGTGGCCACTGTGCAGCTGCACAGATGAGCTCAGGACACTGGGCAGACTCTGGGTCTCTTGGAGTTTTTTTTCCTGAGGTTGCCCCTTGGCCCAGGCCTGCCTTCATTTTTTTGTTGGTTTGGCATAGCTAGGAATAGAACCTAGGATCTTACTTGTACCGGGCCACTACTTTCCCACTGAGCAGCATTTACTAATCTCTTAAGATCCCTTCCTCCTGTTATCTGTGCCTGAGTATTGGGTCTGGGAACGGAGCTATCCCAGCAGACTTAGGAAGTTTTTATGAAGCTTCTCTATTTTCTTTTTATTCACAAAACCACATGTGAATAAGCTGGAGATAGCTTAGTGCTACAGCACTTGCTTAGCATGCACAGAACCCTGGATTTGATCCCTGACACTGAAAAATCAAAGCAGTTGTACATCTGAGAACTCTGTAATCTATGGCACAGAAGTGACTCCTGCCTCCAGATTGATCTTAGGAACAGCTCAACAGATTTCTCATAGGTGTAGAGTAACATTGTGGCCTCACTTAGCCATAACATGGACTTTTCTCTATGACATTGTACAGTGACCTGTTTCTTGCTGGTGGGTTTTGATACTTTCTCTTTTCAGTAGTGCTCAGAAAACATCCCTAGCAGACTCTCTCCACCTCTGGATGCTCGTAGGAGCATATTTCTAGCCCAGGAAGGACTTCCTTTGTACTATCTCTGCCAGCTCCCAGTGAAGGTTTGAGTGACAGAGGTGCCCTGGGAGCCTAGATTCTCTTAAGCTGGAGATTTGTGGGCCATAAAATAACGAGTTGTAAAGGCAATGGTGGAGGTTGTTTTTTTTACTCTTGGGTGATTTGCTTGTTAGCTTTTCTAGAAGCTCTGCTTATAAGGGATAGCCCTAGTAGGAGAAAGATTCCCTGCCCCTGCTTTTATGATCCTGTAATTATGTCTGGATACATGCTCCCTCCCCCAGCCTGATTTCTCCCTTCCTCTTCACAGGCCAATAAGCTGGCAGAGAAACGAAAGGCCCATGATGAAGCTGTGAGGCCTGTGAAGAAGGCCAAGAGGGCAAGGCCCATGTGAGCTCCAGTGGCCCCTTACTGAGAGAAGGCCACCCCCTGGCATTTGGACATGGCAAAACCAAGTCATTGGGCCTAAGCTTGGTGACAGACTAGAATTGCTTATTTTGTTTCTCTCTGTCTCACTCCTTTTCTCTCATTTCTCATACACACCACACACACACACACCCAGAGGGTGTGGTAATGTGTGGGCAGCTCTAGCCTCCCATGGAGTTCTTGCTGGTATCTGGGCAAAAAAGAAGCTGCTTTGTTGCCCCACCCCCACCCCCCCAGCTTTCCATAGCCTCCTAAACAGTTGGACCCATGATACTCAGGGTGCTGTGATGGGGTGAAGATGGGGAGCTTTTGTTATTAAATGGCTGGGCTTCTGCAGCCAATTAGATTCTGTGTCTAGATGCTTTTCTGAAGTTGGAGAAGGGCCACCCGGTCAGACCCAGATGGGTTCAGATATACTCAGAACTCTGTGTCCCAGAACCCCTCCAGGTCCATGACACTGGGAAGAAGACAGTTTCTGGGCTTGGGCTCTGCAGTTACCCTGACCTTGGTTCTTATTCCAACTTAGATGCTTATTCTGAACCTGCTTCCTCATAAGTTATGGGGAAGTTCTGGAACCTTCCTGAAAGTGCTGTACTGAGGGCTCAGGGGAAACTAGTGTCCCTTGTTCAGTTAGTGCTCTATAAACACTAACTGGCTTCTCTTACCTCCTGCTGGAGCTAATCTGGAAAGTAAAAACCAGTGCCTGAGGGATAGAACCAAAAGGCAGGTATAATCTACCTTTGCACCCAAGTGTAGCCACTGCTGGTAGCCCGACTTGTGACCTCTGTGGACAGCTTCTCATTCTACCTGCAGTACTTCTGCAAGTGCCCAGGTGAATAGCCCTTGCCTGGGACTGATGGCATCATGACAGGGCCAGTGCTCTGAATAGTTATTCAGTCCCTCCCTGGACACCTTCCCAAGGCTCCCAGTGGCTGTACTGCCATGACCAGGCCTGAGGCTGGGCTTCTCTGAACCTAAGGGTTTGGTGGCCTGGCCTGCCTGTTAATTGTGTGCTGCTCTGTATCTGGAGAATGATTCTGCAGCAGTGCTCAACCCACCCTGTGCAAGAGGAAGGCAAGTTTTAGCAAACTGTGGCTTATGGACCAGGGAACCCAGGGCCCCTAGGGCCTCCCCTGGTGGGCCTCACTGTATGTGTGGGAAAGAGGACTATATCTGGTACCAGCTCTGGCATGGCAGTTGGGGGAAGCAGGAACAGAGGGTTGAGCCTTATAGAGCCACAGCCCGCACCCCAGGAGATGACTCAGGCCCACGAGGTCAAGAGCAAGCCCATCAGATATGGAAGAATGCCTGGCAGCCATGCTGATGTGGAATTTTTCCCATTCCAAAGTCACCCAGAAATGGCGGGGGCAGTGGGACTCCGACGAGGCCGGTGTTCCACTGGGTGGCTGCCTGGTTCTGTGCTGCGGGCAGCTGGAGCTGAAAATTCAGTGTAGTCCCCAACCTTAGATCTGTGGGGTGGAGTAGGACATCCTGAACCTCAGCTCTCAGCCCTAATGGGCATCGAGGTGAGGGAAGTCAACTGAAACCAAGTGATAGGACCCTTTGAGTCCAGTCCCTTGTGCCCCCAGAGGTCCTGACTTTTAACCCCAGCTTCTTTACCAAAAATGTGTCCCTGGCTTGGAGAGTCGGGAGCCAGGAAGGCCTGCCTGCCTTGGGTCTTAAAGAGGCTCCAATATTTACAATAAAATTAAGGCAGCTAGTGCAGCCACCTTTTTCCCAGAGCCCTGGCTCCCCTCCCCAGCACTACCACCAAGCCACAGGAACCCTCCATCCCCTCTGTGGCTGGCTGAGGTCTCTGCCAAGCCAAAGGACTGGCTGCAGGACAATGGTCCCTCTGGCCCATTGGAGACAAGTAGGCCTTGTTGGGCTGGTGGCGGGGGCGCCCAAAGGAGTTGAATACGGCTTCTGTGCCTCCTGGGCAGGCGCGCAGGGGACCGGATGGGGGAAGGGGCCAAGGCGCCCATTGGCGGTGGCGCCAGGGGCCGGGCCATGCTGGTGGCCTCACCTGGCTGAGAGTGGTGATAGCGGCGCGGCAGCCGCTGCGGCGGCGGGGCGGAGGCACGGACCAGGCCTGGCGGAGCGCGCGCCCCGCCGCCCAGTGAGCGCCCTGGTCAGCGCCCCGGCGGCGGGGCCCCTGGGCCGACCCGCCACGCTGAGCCCAAGGAGAACCGGGCCAAGGTATGTCGGGAGGTCCAACACCCTTGCTGGCTTGTGCGATGATGCCTCAGTCTACTGTTTGAATACACTGTCCAAGTCACCAAACTGGGACAGTATGCTTGCCCCCCTACTCGGAGAGGTATAGGAGTGCCTCAGTGACTCCAGGGGCTGTGTCCTGCAGGCTCAGGTTAGTGGTTTGCCCCGTGCAGGTTGTTTCCCCAGACCCCCAGTGGGGTGGATGGGGCTGGAGAAGGCTGGCTGCAGAACTGGGCGGGAGCTGTGATCCTGTTAATGATTAATCTTGGACACCGTGGTCCGGGCCCTAGTGGAGGAGGAAGGGCAGGACTCTCCCCTTTCCCCACCTGCCTTCCCTAGAAGGGGCTGTCTCAGCAGGAGACATGGCCATGACCAGAGACAAACCCATGTGCTTGAAGGCCTTGCTGGTATGTGCCCCTGGGGGAGAAAGACCACTGAGGAGAAGCTTGTGGAGGTAGGACAGGAAATGTCCTACATGCATTTGCACAGTTCTGGGGTCCTGAACCAGTGCTCATCAAGGTTGGTCTGCTCCCTTGATGGCAGGCCAGCACTTTGGTAACAGCAGAGTATGACTGGTCCCTTCCCAGTGGAGACTCTCTCTTGGCTCCCTAGCTGTCAGTGGTGACAGGCACACATCTGGCTGCAGTAATCCACACTAGAGGGTGGGAAGCTGGCCTGACACCTGATCTCTGGGGTTACTGTGGTGACCAGTGCCATGGAAATCCTCAAGAGGAAAGAGGTGTGGAGGGAGGTCCAACCAGAATACTATCCTCTGCTGAAGGTATGACTGAAATCCAGAGGGTATGAGGGTTGTCCAAGGTCACTGGAGCAGCACAGCAGGGCAAACCTGAGCCCAAAAGCTGCTCTGTACCTTGCCCTACAAGGGAATGTTGCTCCTTCTCTAGAGCGAGGGTACTGAGGCTCAGGGATATTCAGTGACTTGTTCAAGGTCACATAGTTCAGAAGTGGCTGAGTTCACTCCAGATCCGAGCAGTTCTGCATGGTCCCTATCTCAGGACCCCAGTTCTGCCTGACTGAGGCATCCTAGCCCCTTGGATTTTCCTGAGCCATATCAAGACCCCTCCCCCTTGCCTGGCTCCCAGCTCTGCCTGACACTCCGGGGTGAGCAGGCTGTTACCCTAGGAGCAGAAACAACAGAGCCCTGTTCCCAGCTGTCACCTCAGGCTGCTTCATCCCCTGCGTATTGCTCAGGCACAGCCCTGCCTAAAGGAAGCTCCCTATGGGCAAAGAACGCCCGCTTCCTCTGCATCCCTTTCCCTTACTGGGTTCTGTGCTGTCTTGTCATCCAACAAGGGCTAAGTATGTCCCCTGCAGTGCTTCTCCCTGGGCTTCAAGGCACTGAGTAAGCCACCCTGTACAGGAAACAGGGATCACAGGGAGAAGAGTGGGGCATCCTGCTTGTGACAGGCTTCTTGAATTGCCTTGACTCTAGATAGGGCAAGGCAGGATGGAGTGGAAATGCCCCCTAAGAGTCACCAGACTGGGGATGTCTGGAATCACATGTGAGGGCTAATGGGAAGAATTGCCCAGGGGACACCTGTCTTCTCACATGCTTCTTTCAGGGCACAGATAAGGGCCCCAGTGGTGCCCTGACTTACAGTGACATGCTGGGCTAGTCCATCCCTCTTGGCATCAGTTTTGTTGGATGTGGAATATGAGGGCTAGGACAAGTTGGATATGGAACAAGGGAAATATAGGTCCTTGGAAGGGCAAGATGGCATTCTAAGGCATGTAGACCGACAGATCCTACATCCCATGCCAGGTGAGATCTAGAAGAATCTAAGAGGGTCATGATTGTAACCAGATTTACTTACGTGTGCCAAGCACCATGCCAAAGGCTGTGCATGCCTCACACCATTGGATCTTCCCAGCAACCTTCAAGAGTGTAACTGCACCTGTTAAAGAGAAAAATCCCTTGCCAGAGGTCATCCAGCTGGGGAGCTGTGGGGGCAGGACTTATAATTAGGGCACCTTAGAGTGTAGGGTAGAACAGTGGGTACATGGCAACTTATCCATATCTATAAACCCTTTCTACCAAGCCACTTTTTAGGCAGACAAGTGGATCACCAACCTTTAAATACTACCATAGGCATATCACAAAGTACACAAAATGTTTATTGCTGACTCCTACATACTCACCCCTGGAGGAAGACAGAGGAGGAAAGAAATGGGAAGGTGTAGATAATATTGCAAAATTTAAAACTAACAGGGCCAGAGACACGGTTCATTAGTTAGAGCACTGGTTGCTTTTGCAGAGGATCCGGGTTTGGTTCCCAGCACCCACATGGTGGCTAACAACCGTCTGTAACTCCAGTTCCAGGGAATTCAGCACCCTTTTCTGCCCTCCACAGGCATTGCACAGCTTGAGGATACTTAAATACATGTAGGCAATACACTCATACACATAAAATAAAAATAATAAAATATATATTTTTAAAAAAACTGCCTTCCAAATCATCGAAGAACACCCTCTCTTCTCAGTCACCAGGCCTAGAACCACTCAGGATCCATAACTCCAGACAAGGGGCAGTAGGGTAACAAGATATCAGGGCTGCGAGCTTGGAGGTGGTCCTGTGAACTAGCAAGTTAAGACTCAGATAAAATGCCTGCTGAGTGGTACTCCCTATCTCTGTTCTAGTCCCCTACTCCAGAGAGCCCAAGTGATGAAGCTCCCTACAAGTCACTCAGCAGACCCAACCTCTCCCAACTGCACCTTCTGCCAAGCACCCCATACTTCCCAGCTCTATTTCAGCACTGGCAGCTCCTTCCCATTTAGGAGACCTGCCTTAGAAATAATGAGGTGGAGGCCTGACTCCTACTAGCCACTGCTCCCTCCAGCTAGCCTAGGTTTTCAAGAAATATAAAAAATATAAATGAGTGTGGAAATTAAAGAACAGCTTAAAGGAGTCGGTTCTCTCCTCCCATGCGGGTTCCTGGGATCAAGCTCAGGTCATCA